CTCGGTCCATAATATGCAAAAGTAATTGCATAGTTAATGTAAGTTATTCCGTTGCTTAAGACTTTGCTTTGAGAAAATTTAAAGTTGAATTTAGGCTGGAGTAATGATCAGACTAATTGTATATGTAACCTAATTTCTCATGAAGCCTACAACAAAAGTAAAGCAATTTTTATATAATAATTATGCCTGGATTATCCCCTGGTTGATGCTGGTGTGCCATTAAACATTAATTCCATCATTTCATTTCATATCTTCAATCAAGGTTATGCAACGCAGAACACGGCATATGTGACTGTAGATGGTCTCGCTTATTATATAATTTTGTCCTTTTCCGTTTTTTTTTTAGATGGGCCCTCCTTTAAAACGGATATTACGAATGTAATTAATGCGTAGGAAATCTTGTTTTTTGAACTTATATTTTGTAAATAATTCTGTTTCTCGAAATAACTACATAAAAATAGTTTGGTTCATTCCTTGACATCTTGCGTAATTTTCATCTTGAAATAATATAGTGTAGATAACAATAATCAATCATTCAAGGGGTTATATTTTCGAAGATTCACTTTTTTGTCTTTTCTAGCGTAATATCTGAAACAATTCTGAACTTTTGTCCAATAACAATACTATGGATATCTATGATCCAGCAGTGAACTGTGGGGAATATTAAAATACCGGTATTTATTTTGCAAAAAAAAGGAGGTTTAGAAACAGCTCAGAAATATATGGAAAACTTTAACTGTGATGCAGTCGTGACGGGTTTCACCGGTGCCCGTTATCCTTTAACGAACGTCACATTCCCATGAGCATGATACATATTCAGACGAAATGGTCATTTATGATACCATGTTGACGTGTGGAACCCTTACAGAGTGACCAGTGCAAGATCGTATATCTACACAATATTACCAGTGGCGGCACCAAGGGTGGGGGGGACAGCATCCCCCCCCCCCCCCACGCATAAATCTGGTCTGCCCTCTGTTTGCCCCCCCCCCCAATAATTATTTGTGATACTTTTCGGTAATCAATACCTTCTGCGGTGATTAAATCCCACATCCTGACTCAGACATTGACTTGCATGTTGTAGAGTCTGAGTGATATCTTACCAAGCGTATCCTGCTGTAAACCTACTATGAAGTGCTTTTTACGATTTTCAAAGTTTTTGGGTATAGGTCAATGCTGCGAGAATATGCATTCCCTCAATACACTCACTCCGTTCGTTTGACACCACCCTCTCTTTTTGGATAAGCTGGTGATTTGGCGACCAAAAGTATCTGGTCAGCTCTATTTATCTCGAAGACCAGTGTCCGAAATGTTGCATTTCCGGCAGTCTACGTCACAAAATATCGTGGCAAAAATATTCATTAACTTTGAGTCACTCACTCCGTCCGTTTGACACTTTCCTGTCTGGTCGGATAAACTAGTGATTTGGTGACAGGCGGTACTGGTAAGCTCTATTTATCTCGACGATCAATGCCTGAAACACTGCCAGACTGCATTTCCGACAGTCAGTTTTTCCAAATTTTGGGGGGCTTCGTTGAGGTTCATTCATTTGACACTTTCCTCTCTGGGGTCGAATAGACTAGTGATCAGGCGACAGACTGCATCTGATCAGCTCTATTTATCTCTACAATCGGTGCCTGAATACTGTCAGACAGCATTTCCAACAGTCTATTTTTAAAATTTTCTTGGGGAGGTCCCCGGTCTCACTACTTTGGCACTCACAAAGGGACTTCGTTGAGGTTCGCAAGTCCGTTCGTTTGACGTTTTATTCTCTGGTCGGATAAACCAGTGATCAGACGACGGACGGTATCTGGTCAGATCTATTTATCACAACAATCGGTGCCTGACTGAATACTGTCAGACAGGTTTCCCCGCAGTCTATTTTTCAAAATTTTCTGTGGAAGGTCTCCCATTTCGCGCTCGTTATTGGGCTTTGTCGTGGTTCGCAAGTTTGACACTTTACCTCAACGATCAGTGCATGAAATACTGCCAGGCTGCATTTCCGGCAGCCTGTTTTCAAAATTGTCTGGAAGAGACCCCCCTACCCCTAGTTGAAGCTGGTGTTTTTGCCCCCTTAACCTTGGACTTTCCCCAGCTTTGCCCCTCAATCCCCCGACGGCTGGCGCCGCCACTGAATATTACTTAAAGGAAATTAGTAAACAGTATTATTAAATGGTATCAAATAACACTCTTTAGAAAAAAAAAACATGTTTGCTTCAAGGGTTGAAAATATGTCTGGTTTTTTTTTCAAAATCACTGTAGATGTGTTGGGCAAAACAACGTAAAAAGGTACTTTTGGACAACTGCATAAAGTTATAAACTATCTTCTGATGTATTCATATGTTCGCATTGATTTGTGCTTTTCGAATTAAAAGTTTTAAAATTTAAATATAAACAAACAGGTACGTTTGAAATTAAATTTGTATAATAAGGGTTAAAGGTACAACTTTTGCAAAATGACGCCATTTCTAATGACAAGAATGCTACAATAATCAACAGTCGCAGTAGGCATCAAGTAGTGTAAATGTCATGAAAATAGAAATGAAATGAAATGAAATGGGGTTTAACATCCTACTGTTCTGCTCCTATACTGGGCTAATGAAGACGGGCATACGCCATACAGTGTGCTATGAGGGGAATTTTGCCCGAGCAGCGGCACTATCGCCTACTCTTATATCGAATTCAATTTGCCAAGGGATCTTTTATGTGCATTCCAATGTATACACGGGACCTCGGTTTATCGTCACATCCGAAGGACTAGACAGCTGTCCTTATCAGGCCCTCTGGCACCACTGACAAGGGGAAACCATGTCGGAATATCCAGATGAACTTTCTCGGCCAATGCAGGGATCGAACACCCGACCTCCAGGCTAGCGAGCCAGCGTCTTAACCACCTAGCCACCGTGGCTCCCTCATGAAAATAGAACAATATTTTATTCTTTTGAAAAGTGACTCGCACAAAATTGCCTATTTCTCGTAAATAGCATATATTGAAAATGATTCATGAATATTTGGTTGATCTTATATATCACCACTGCACTATATAAATGTTTAGAAAATACAAATATTATATAACATTTGCGGGAAAACTGGGTACAAAAATCGATTCCCGAATTGCTCTGCTTATTTACCAGGACTATCCAGATATATATCAGCTAAATTCGGATAAGATAATATTTTGTACCAATGATTATTATAGCTAGTGCCAATGTATATATTATGCCATTGATACTGTGTCAATCGGATAATTATTATTTAGTTTATACGCTAAAAACTGTAAGGCCACAGGGAGATAATTTGCATAAATATATTTTGAATATTTATTTACAGCTGATCAGAACCTGTATACTTTGAAAAACTAATAAAGTGTTTATAAAAATGTCATATCTCTAGACCTTGCTCTCAAAAACTGAGTGGCTTAATGAACAGATTCTGCGAAATAAGCTGGTGAAAACGGAACATAATATTAATCCGACCAATAAACATGAGTGTGAGTTATAAACATACATTTCAAGTTTAACCCAAATTGTGACCTCTACAGTGTTCACATGCTTAAAACGTGATTTTTCGTACAATCAAGGACCATAATCCATGAAGTTATAGTCCGATACATGCCAATATCGAAAGGAACCGAGATCTTAGGTTGATAAACCTATATTTCAAGTTTCATTGAAATCAGATAAAAATTGTGACCTGTAGAGTGTTCACAAACAATTGTGGACGGATGGACGGACGGACGGGGGCAACAACAATATACGTCCACATGAAAATGTGGGCGTATAAAAATCGATCAAAAGAGGTCATGTTTGTGTCATGTGACACAACGGGTGCGAGGTCAAATTCAGCCAGCAGACCAGCTATCACCAAATTTTGCTGAGGCCTTAAAATTGAATTTTTTTGGGATATACGAACCATTGGCAGACGTTTCTGGCATATCCCCACAAACAGGGTGCAGATGACTTAATAATTAGTAAATTTGCGGGCGACAGTGTCGGGTGATTCCCCATTGCAAGATTCCGAATTCCGGCCCACACCCAGCACAGAAAGTCTATTATACCAGCCCATTCCAGACTCCAGTGATGGCGTGGCGGCCCGTTAAAGCCACCGGCCACATACAACATGATCTTCATCGCTCCATGGCTGGTCCAATACCCCCGCCCCCCATAAAATGTTCAGCAGAAAAAAGTTTTTTTTAGACGCATTGGACAAAATTATTTTTTTCATTTTTTGTCTGACCGGCCCTTCGGGCGATCGCCCGATCCACCCCTGTACATCAAGCACTCAATCTCCACGTGCAACCTTCGATGTCACGCGTGCAGACACTCCTAATCGTCAGGCAGTCGATTAGGGAAACCCGTACATTTTTGTCCTGTATGTGCTCCATGAGTGTTTTTCAGGGAATCCATTATTTTTCTAGTAAGATTGGATATTTCTACTTTCCATATATACCAAAATTGCCATACTTTTATTGGAAATAACCACCCGATAAATACTTTTCTGGAAACGTAGCTTTAAATTAAAAACTGAAGAAATGGCGAGGAATTTTAGAGTCGGGTTATCTCTTGGAACAGACAGTAGTATAAATGTTAGTTTTTGTAAATAAGGGCCATGGACTATTAAAAGATTGATGACAACATTGCACTAGGATATCAAGTCGCATGAGATAATGGAAATACTGAGTACATATAGACCCATGCTGAATGTCTACACATAGCAAGCAATTCTGCATGCACAGCACAATATAAACTTTATGTTTGTATTATGGTCGTTCACCATAATAATATACCTGATATCATCTAAAACACAGATAAAAAAAACTTTAAGATGTCTACTCATAATCTCAGTTTAAAATAAAATATAACATTACATGATCTTATTGGCTTAAAACAATTGACATACAAAGGTAGCCACTAAATCATAGACAACTGATGAAAATTCAGGTCCACTTTTCATACTGTTCTATAATTAATTTGGATTATAGGGTTCATGAATAAACTAACCTCTCTCGCCAGTCGATTATCATCGCCATATTTAAACATACTGTCTAAATGGAACTCTGTAAACTGGTGTTGGGACAAATACTGTGATAACAAAGTTTCTGAAACATTAAGTTAAAGGAGGCTAAGACAAATGAAAATTTTAAAATTGGCACACGAATCGTGTGCCAGAAATATTTTGAGCGAAGCAACTCGATTAACAAGGCTAAACATATCCTACAGGAGAATACTACCGGTGTAGACTGGAGTAACCAGATGCCAAAGACTGCCACTGAATTTGGCACGTATTTCGTCGAACATAACTAATTAGAAATTAATTTATATACATTCATAACACATTATTATGTGTTGAAACCAATTTATGTCCATTTCTTGGTGGCAAAGAATAGCGATTTAGCTCCTTTAAAGTTACAATTAAATATTTTAAAGTTATATTTTTAAAATGTATTAAAATAAAGCCCTATAATAGATGGTATCTATAAACAGTCCTACCTTGTTAAAGAATAATTCTATTAATCCTATAATTCACTATTGCCAGTTGAGAAATTGGCAAAAATATCATTTTCAACTTCAAATTCAAACGTTTGAAGATAGCTATTCCATGGTGGGGAATAGGAAAACAAGGGAAGTAATTGGGAGGTAATTGTGTTATTATTTCCGGTGTGAAGATTTTTAAGTGTGAGAAAGATAACCTATGATTGTATAATACTGAGTTGACAACCTATTGAGCAAAAGACATAGAAATAATTATGTTTTGACTTTCTTAGAAAATATGAAATTGTAACTTTAAAGTACAGTAAATAAAAGGATAATGCCACTTCCACCGACAAGTTTTGACGATATAATTTCTAATTATAAATAAATACAGAAATTACAGATAAAGCATGTATAAAAGTATTGTACCCAGAATTAGTCATTACATAAGGATTTGAAAAGGTAATTTATATGTTGTGATACAATGGATTTCTTTCTCTAAGAAATGATTCATAGTTCTCTACAAAAATACACCTACCATTTTGACGAGGTATTTGCTTTTTCTTCTCTCTTTCTATTTCATCTTTCATCAATGAGAGTAAATATTTCTGTCTGGTATGCAGTGATACAGATAAATACCAGAGATTTTGAGGGATATTCTAACAGAAAAAAAAAAATATGCATAAATTCATTATAGAAATCTTTATACATCCAACTCAAACAATAAAATTGATTAACACTCTTCTTAAAGGAGCTAAATCGCTAATATTTGGGATCTAGAAATTGAAACAAGTGGGTCGCAACTCATATAGTAATGTATATGTAATATGAATGTATATAAACTGTTTTACATTCAATCGTTTCCGTTTTTAATGTAATTTCAAATCAGTTAAACATACATCATGCAAGAGCTAAATCTGATTATTCCAAGTCTTTATTTAGGCTTCAGATGTCATAAAAATTATAAATTAGATCTTTATTTACACAACAAGCACAAAATCAACTCTGTAGATCCACGGATGGCTTGGATTTAAACAGGATTTCATTGATTGATTAAATTTTTAAATGGCGTCGTAAATTAAATACTCCCGGAAATTTTAGATCGAGGCTAAATGATAGAGTGTACGAAGCGAGGCCGCTGTAAAGCGAGGCCGCATGTCAGTCAATTTGATTGAAAGTTTGATATATACGGCCTTGATATTATGTTTAGTTGTGGTTAAAATGAGAGTTTGGATGTCGGTTTTATATGCTCTTTTGTCACTTGCGTTTACAGAAAAATATGGGAATTGATAAACATCGCAGCTAACATCACCCCACCCAGTTGAATTGCAACCCCATTGGATCACTGTTTCCTATTTGTCTGCTTCGGGAGTTACGCTGGCCTACCAGTTACAATACAAGAGTACAAGCAGGCTAACAAGAAGTGGGCTATAATTATGCCTCATTGATTTGGTCCATTCCTTTCAAACTTCCGCTTCTTATCTATATATTAAAAGTCTTACTTTTAATTTGTAATAAAAATAAATGTGATACGAATTGAATTGCAACCCCCGTCTCAAACCAAATAGGCTAACGGTACCACAGCCATTGAAAACGTTACTTGATAATCGAGATTATGTAGGTGGAGTTAACGCCTGTCAATCAAATGATGGGCCATTCTCGGAGACGGTGAAGAGAGAGTTGACTCCTATTTCTAGTCAAAAATTACAATGGTGATAACTTTGTTCAGAATAAAGTAATTTGACCAAAATTTTCAATATATTCTTCTTTCATCATCTATTTTTGAACTGTTATAGCAAGAATGGCCAACTCTCTATTAAAATCTCCCATAATGTATCTTTAAGTTCGGCAAAATAAGCCAGAAGTCTCAATCGAATGGCAATCTCTAGGGTCTGGTTATTCCAGTCTACACCGATAGTATTTATTGCGCATGGTCTCCAGATAAGAATATACCGTCACTGTTTGACATGACATGTGGAATATGTCTAGCCTCGTTCCTCGAGTACTATGTTACAAATGGCACTGAAACACATTATGGTACACGATTCATGTACCAATGGTAAAATGTTTATTTTGTCTTAAATATTGGATATCAGAAGCCCACCTTTTCCTATCACAACATCAATGTTGATTTAGATTGAACAAGCCAACAGTGAGGCTGATGTCCCCCGCCGAAATCCCGGAAAAAAATCGATGACACATGTTGATTAATTGCACATTTATCTTTTTCAAAAGTTTTGAGCAATCAAACTCACTATCAACTATAAACTAAGTTTCATCACTCTTTATCAGATAGAATCAAAGTCAAAGAAATTGCTTAGCTCTGCTTAGCTTTAGCGAGAAATGTTAATCATTGAACTCAGTCAAGACATTCACTTATAATTATAATGAACATCTACATCAAGTTTAAACATTCTACATCAATAAAAACAGAGTTATGTTACAAATTCTTGACCAATCAAATTGCTTATCGCTCCTTAGCCTAAGCAGAAAATTCTCATCATCGAACTTAGTCAAGGTAATGATATAATGAATCTAAAAAGAAAATGCTCATCTTCGAACTGCATTAAAGCATTGACCTAATAAACACCTAGACCAAGTTTGAACATTCTAGCTCAATTAGGTTTTAGTGTCCACAAGGCATTGACCTAATAAACACATACACCACGTTTGAACATTCTAGCTCAATTAAAAGTTATCGTGTCCCAAAGCATCAACCAATCAAATTGCTTATCTCTGCTTACCCTAAGCGGAAAATGCTCATCTTCGAACTCCATCAAGGCATTGACCTAATCAACACATACACCAAGTTTGAACATTCTAGCCCAATTAGGAAGAGAGTTATCGTGTCCCAAAGCATCAACCAATCAAATTGCTTATCTCTGCTTACCCTAAGTGGAAAATGCTCATCTTCGAACTCCATCAAGGCATTGACCTAATAAACACATACACCAAGTTTGAACATTCTAGCTCAATTAGGAAGAGAGTTATTGTGTCCCAAAAAGTGTGACGGACAGACAGACGGACAGACAGACGGACGAACCCATTTTAATAGTCCCCTGCTTTCTTCGAAAGGCGGGGGACAAAAATAATTTGTGTTTTCAATGTCGAAAACTTTGGATGATATTGAATTAGAGACTTACCTACTTTACCCTGAACACAAAATGCTCATTATCAAAGTTAGCCAATGTATTGCAACTATAGACCAAATTTCATCAATCTCACTGAATTTGAATCCAAGTTATTGTTTCCCAAAGTACTGATAAACCAAACTGCTTAGCCTGAACTCAGCTAATTAAGACATTCGTCAAACAAACATCAACACCAAATTAGAACATCCTACTTCAATTAGAAACAAAGTTGTTGCGTTCTGAATTGTGTGACTTAGACAGACGGACAACCCATTTTAGTAGCGCTGGGTGATATTTAGGTTGAGCTTTTTAAAATAAAAAAAATGTGATATAAATATTAATCTATCATTATCTTTAGTATACTCTTAAAAAAAAGTAGGGGACATTCAGAAACAATACAAAACTGCGGAAATGCAATGCTGTTTTTATTAGAGGTAACTAGTGTATGTTAATAACAGGCCAATTGCACAAGAACATAAACACTTCATATGGGCGGCTTATCTAACGGCCCCATTTCACTCGCAAAGAGATACACTGTCAAAAGTGAAAATGGACGTTTTTGATTTTTGTCTTAATAATTAATAATGAGTAATTGCTCCACCAATCCTCCGACATTCAGCAATTCGTCTTGGCATGCTTCTAATCAACCGTCCAATCACGATTTGGGGCAATCTGACCCACTCCTCTTGCAGTGCCACGGCCAATTCTTGCAGTGTTGTCGGTTGACGTTGACGAACACATCCCCCTAAACAGTAAATCTTATGCAAGAACCGATAGGAAAGCAAACATGGATAGAATAAACCAGCAAGCAGCAGTTTTCATCAACCCTTCCTTGAAGTGTCAAATTTGACAATGAACCCCTCCCACGTGTATGGCGCTATTGCGTGTCGCATATGCAGCTCAGTGGTTCTGTTGGGGCGATAAGTTCTTCAGCTGTGAACATACTCTCAAAGCATGTCAAGTGTCCATGACTATTTATCATATCACAACCTGCATAGGTATTTGCATTTCAATATCCCCTACTTTTTTTGAAGAGTATATTTCAACCTAGTCCTCATTCCCCCCCCCCCCCCCTAAATAAAAGAAAGAAAATATCTATAGCATTCATATAATTAAACTTAATTTGGTAATAAAACCAATTAACATCCAATATAGAACAATACTGTCATCCAGACAATAATGATTAAACAGTTATACTACTTGTATAGTAGGCCTAGAAGTAGGCCTACTGTTACAACAAATTTATAATTTCACCTACACCCAAATCGTCTAAATCTTCAATGACCAATCCCGATTTCCCAACTTTCTCCATTAATTTTCCTCTCCATTCTCTCCACTGGTCGGGGTGAGACTGGAACCTTTTAAAGAGCAGCAACTCAAAACCATGAAAAATCTCACCCATTTGATTGAGATTTTTATTGTAAAAAGAAATATGTGCGATTTATTTAGTTTCAAAAGAAAGGCTAATAATAAAAATAGTAATTCATATTTAATATCATTAGTAGGCCTATTATCATTATGATAGGCTAATCGTTATGACTTCAAATCATTTTATAACATCTCTTTCCATTACACCAGTGACGGTTATATGTAAGTAAGTACTACATATTGCATTAATAGACTGGATAATGATACATTTACATCAATTAAACTGAAATCAAACGTATTTCGACCAAAATGAAAAAAATATGCAGCCACAGGCGGGAAGACTAATCACCGGAATTCACCGGAAATCATTTACAATCACCGGAATTCACCGGAATTCACTTCTAAAATCCCGGATTCCTCCCACAAAACTCACTTATTTTAAATGTATAATACATTTTGATCTCTCCGCTGGCCAGAAAAGGGCGCTGTAGGTGAATTTATTTGAAAGACTACCGGAATTCATTTCAAATATATGCATCATGATTATGATAACGTAGGGCGCGTCGTATTACCCAATAGGCCGAACTCCAAAATAACACATAATAACAATTTGCGTCGAATTACCCAATAACTCCAAAATAACAGCCAATAACCCCAAAAATGTTGACTGTGGAACACAATATAACAATTTAGTTGAATTTAAGAAGCCTCGCTGATTTGTGCCCAAATCGGAGGTTCACGGGAGATAACTCGTGTATGTGATTTTTGTTGACAAGAAACTAATGTATACTTTCGTTGCAATTCGTTGTAATGTATTGTAATAAAAGATTGATAATAGTTTATTAAAATAAACAATTTGATATTATAGCTATATTTATTTATTTATAATTGCATATTGCGCCGATTGTCACTTTCGGTCATCGACATCGTAACTTGTTTAGAAATAAATACCTAGTTAACATTGATGGTTAGATTTACGTAAAGTTTACGTCATTATGGTTAGATTTTGGTTAGCGTCCAATAATGGTAAAATTCTTTGGTTAAATTTACGTTACTTTTACGTCATAATGGTTATGGTTACTTTTACGTCAGAAAATGACGTAAATGTAACGTAAACTTTATGACGGATTACTAACCATTTTTTTTCCCTTTGAATACTTCTTGATTAAATAACATTACAAGTGTGTGCACATTCTAACAATTGATATATAGTCGGAATTCAGACATAATAATTATATATGTATTATTGGTTATAATTCTAACGTTAATCTAACGTAAATTTTACATCAGGTTTCTAACCGTTAGTTTATGGTTAGTTTTCTGACGTAAATCTAACGTTAGTTTTCTGACGTAAATCTAACGTTAGTTTTCTGACGTAAATCTAACGTTAGTTTTCTGACGTAAATCTAACGTTAGTTTTCTAACGTTAATATAATGTTAGTTTTCTAACGTTAATGTAATGTTAGTTTTATGTCATAATTTTAACCGTTAATTTAATGTTAGTTTTCTAACGTAAATCTAATGTTACTTTTATAACATAAATCTAACTTTAGTTTTCTAACATAAATCTAACGTTAGTTTTCTAACATAAACCTGATATTAGTTGTAAAACGTAAAACAAATGTCAGTTTAATGTCATGATACTAACAATTAAGGGCCTGACAAGACAGCTGTCTAGTCATTAAAATGGGTAAGACCCTGGCTCGCTAGCCTGGAGGTCGGGTGTTCGATCCCTGCATTGGCCGAGAAAGTTCATCCAGATTTCCGGCGTGGTTTCCCCTTGTCAGTGATGCAGGACAGAGAGCCTGACAAGGACAGCTGTCTAGTTGTTCAGATGGGATAAAAAAAAAAACGAGGTCCTGTGTACACATTGGCATGCATGTAAAAGATCCCTTGACAGTTGGAATTCGATATAAGAGTACGCCGTAGTGCCACTGTCGGGGCAAAATTTCCCTCATAACACACTGTATGGTGTATGGCCATCTTCATTAGCCCAGTTCGGAGCAGAACAGTTGGACGTTAAACCCCATTTCATTTCATTACATTTTGTATCCATTTCTAAGTGCCCAAGAATAGAGATCTAGCTCCTTTAATAGTTGCGGTCTGTAGGTGACACACAAAGAGAAAACGAATGAATGAATGATCTACTCTCATTTCAAATTCCAAATGTCAAGGGTTCTTTTACGTGCACACCCACGTGATGGACTAGACACTGTTTTTTTTAGGTCCTCTGTCCTACACCACTACTAACAAAGGGAACTTTCTCGACCAACATGGGGATCACGTTGGCTAAGTGGGTAAGACGCTGACTCGCTAGCCTGGAGGTCGGGTGTTCGATCCCTGCATTGGCTGAGAAAGTTCATCCAGATTTTTCTGCGTGTTTTCCCCTTGTCAGTGATACAGGACGGAGGGCCTGACAAGAACAGCTGTCTAGTCAGGGATGAAAAACTGAGGTCACGTGTACACACAGGAGTGCACATGAAAGATCCCTTGGTAGTTGAAACTTGATATAAGAGTAGGCCATAGCGCCGCTGCCTGGGCAAAATTTCCTTCATAGCATACTGTATGGCGTATGCTCGTCTTCATTAGCTCAGTTTAGGAGCAGAACAGTAGGACGTTAAACCCGATTTCATTTCATTTTTCTCGACCAACACGGAAATTGAACCCCTCATTTGCTAGCCAGTGTGTTACTAATTACTAGAGAGAGAGAGAAATGGGGTTTAACGTCTACTCGACACAAACTAGGTCATTTCGGGACTAACATATGATTTAATTTTTATTTACATAATTCGCTTGCGCGTAGGGGTCTTTAGCAGTGGGAGAAAACCGGAGTTTGGACAGGCGACCCTACTCCTTGTCACGTACAACCGGGGATTCGAAACCACGCCAGTCAACTCAATGACAGACTTTATGATACAGCGCCCGCACGCTAACCATTCAGCCATCCAACCCCCCGTTACTAATTACTAAGTTTGTGAAATGTAGGTTTTTCCTCATGTAGGTTTTTCCTGATGAAATCGGTTTATTGTCCGACTGTTCTGCTCCGACTGGGCTAATGAAGACAGGTACATACCATACAATGTGCTATGAGGGAAATTTTGCCTACTAATATCGAATCCAACTGCCAAGGGATCTTTTCGTGCAAGCCAATGTATACATGGTACCTCGGTTTTTTGTCCCATCTGAGTGACTAGACTACTGTCCTTGTTCCTGCACCTCTGACAAGGGGAAACCATGTCGGAAAATCCTGATGAACTTTCTCCACCAATGCAGGGATCGAACACGTGCCCTCCGGATTACCGAGACAGCATCTTACGCACTTAGCCACCATGGCTTTATCAAAATTAGTAATGAAGATGTGCTATGACAGAAATTTTGCCTGGACAGCAGCATTACCGCACTTACTAATGAAGAAGTGCTAGGAAAGACATTTTGCCTGGAGAGCAGCATTTCCGCATATAGTCATTACCAATAGTTCTAAGTGCACGCCAACCTGTAAAACAGGTCTTTACACACTTTTCCACCATACCAATTACTAGTCTGCGGGTTCACTAGTCTGTGGGTGCACTAATCCGTGCATTCACTAGTCCACTAGTCTGACTCTATAAAATACTATAAATATGAGTATTAAAGAAACCCAGTAGATATGGTGACTGATATCACCCTTCGTAAGGCGATAACCCAACATCACGGCATTTTAACCCGAAATCACAACATTTTAACCATTATAGCATATGCCCTTCTTCATTAGCCCACTTGGAACAAAATAGTAGGATGTTCAAACCCCATTTGAAATTCATTTTTATACTTTTCTGAACCAATCGGACTATTGAAGATAGTCATACGCAATGCAGAGTGCTATGACGGAAATTTTCTATGGACTGTGGCAGGGCGGAGGATCTGGCAAGGGATAAGGTATAGTTGTTCGGGTCATACGAAAAATCAAGTCCTCGTGTACATATTGGCATGCACGTAAAAGACACTCCGACAGTTGTAATTCAATATCAGAGTAGGCCATAGTGCCGCTATCCGTGCAAAGTTTCCGTCATAGTACACTGTATATAGTGTATGCCTGTCTTCATTAGCTCACTCAGAGCAAAACAGTAGGATGTTTAATCTCATTTAATTTTATAATTTTCCTACTTTTCTGCACCAATGGGAATATAAAAGATAGGCTGGCAAGCGGACGAGTGCACCCATTGACTATTGAGCATCATTTACTTGAAAACGTTGAGAGAACCCTCAACGAAATGTCGCTTTAATTAAAATAGTAATTGTGTTTTTTCTTGTATCATCGAGTCAAGTGAACGTTAAACCCCATTTCTCTCTCTCTCAATTTTGATACCCAAAAATTTGACAAAACAAATAATGATTGATTGTCGGAAACTGTTTCATAAAGCAAAGTTGTTCTCTACTAAAAGGTTATCACTGTCCAAATGTTCGGAGTAGTCCACACCTAGGCCGACTATGCATGAAGTGTTTTTATAATTAAATTTATTAAATATAGTACCTTGCATCAGTAAATATAAAATTAATGATCCTTTCACCAGTAAATATAAAATTCATAGGCCGACAATGCATTGTGTTTTTATAATTAAAGTTATTAAATGTAGTACCTTGCACCAGTAAATATAAACTTAATGATCCTTGGACCAGTAAATATAATATTCATGATCATTATTTATATAAGGCCTTCATCAACCTTGCACCAGTAAATATAAAATTAATGATCCTTGCACCAGTAAATATAAAATTCATGATCATTATTTATATAAGGCCTTCATGTATGTTTGTACAAGTGTACATTCTTGGAATTGTATTACCATTAACAATATGGAGATCAATTATAATAACCTTTGGCCTTGTTCATGAATCCTTAAATTTTTGAAAATTTAGTTCTTAATATGAAACTATCTAAATAAAATATTGCTTAAATCAATGTGTGTTGTTAATGTCATTCAAAATGGCGGCTGTCTACATATACAATATATAAAATAGGTCATGAGTCGATTGTTGCCGTTTTTTTATTTCGAATTTAAAAGTTCAACACTTAATTATATAAGTTGTAAAACCATATAAAAATAAAGGTTGGACCAAGACTAATTCCATTTTTTTAAGTTATGAATCTGAAAAAAAGATAATAATGACCCAGTCAATTAACATAGAGATCTACTCTAGCTATATGAGTCCATATATTTATCGTCTCTCGATAAAAGACCTATCTCTGAAAATTAAAATTACCCGATTTGATTATTCTTTTAATATAACGTAATCATGTAACCTAATATAAAATATGGTAGAGCGTATACAAACAAATAATATGAATAGATTCATTATCAGAAATATTACAGGCCTTTCAAACGAACAGTCGCCATTTTTAGACCTACATACATGTAGATGTACAAATATATTTTTATCGTCTCGGGCAAGGTCAAGGTCACGATCTGTTCACGGTTGATGATTGTGTTTAAATCGGTTTATATCATATTATTTCTATTCACATTACAATATTTTTTTTATAGGTTACGGTTATTGTTGTTATTTATCAAAATTGCTTCAATTATTTATTAAATATTTTTTGTTTGTTCGTTTGACCGGAACGTACGGAATTCTGGGATTTAAAATGGCGGCATAGGTTATTATTTTTCCCAAAGAAGAAATGATGCCGTGATTTAAAGTTAAATAAAGCTATTCCACACATACACACACGATTTTGGATTCAGCAAAGTAAAGTTGAAGGTAAGT